ATTTGACGGTTGTGCTAAAAATCCGCGTTTCATCTCGTGTTTAATTCCTCAAGCGCTCTCTAACTCTTTTTTTCTTTTTTTTTTTTAATTTATGTATTTGCTCGCTTTTATCTGGTTTTAAGAATCGTCGCCGGATCTTTTCAGAGGACAAAGCGTCAAAAGTGCGTCATGTTGATTTGGTCATGCTTGGGCTAAATGACATTTGTGTCAAATCAGAAGAGCAATATTATCATTCTCCGCAGAAGCATCACTAATACAATTTGAAATACGCACTCGGAGCCACCTTTTTAAAATTTCGCATAACCTAAATTTAGACACTCCATATGTTTTGATCTGATGTTATTGTCTGCTCTTTCTATGCTTGTCGTTATCCGATCTGTGTAGGTTTTCTCGAATCCTTTGTTCTGGTAAAGCAACACAAAGACAGCAGTATGTATCAGAGGAATGCACATACTGCAAAAGATCAGGGTTTTAATACCCACCCACATACTCGCAAGAAACAATTAAAGAAGATACTCTCTTCTACAGTGCACACACACACACTCATGCACTTATAGAGATTTGGTGGGACGCAGATTAACGCCATATAAATCTTTGCCTTTGCAGTGTAGTAGGCTGAAAAGAAGCACGGGCTTTTCATTTGTTGCTTTTGATTGGTCGTGCACACACACACACACACACACTAAAAAGAGAGGGAAGAGGTATATTGATAAAACGCTGCAAATGTTGTCATCAGGCCTCTGATTCTTTCGCTTATTTGATGCATAAGTTCAGATGCACATCCCTCTATGTCTCTGTATTTGAACCTGATGACCTTTCAGAAACTCTAATACGCACTCATTACCAGACTTTTGTTGCATTCAATTTGCTTAGGGTCGAACCGTGTGTTAAATGGCGCAAGCGAGAGCATTGCACTGGTTTTGATACAGCTGAAAGCATAGTAGAATGAGAACTTTGTGAATGACGGGCGTTGCAATTCTGCTAAAAGTTGTGCGTGGGCTCAAGCATTGCATCTCGGTAAAGCCTGGACAAAGAGCTTCACACCCGTTTCCCCCTCCCTGTCGCTTTAACTTTATTAATTGTTGATACGTTGCGATCCACGAGGCAGAAATTAGAAGGCTGATTATTGTATCATGTGATGCTGCCCCACCGCAGTGACAGAAAACTCATTTCCCAGGCCTTGAAACTGATCTCACTTGATTGTTAGATGAAGGATTTGTTTTATAATTCGATAAAAGCGGGGAATAAACAAGCCGATAAAGAGCCTCTCTTGTGCGCATGGAGCGAGTAATTGTTTTTAAATAATTGATACGGATTCCTTCGGGACTCTCAAAGAGCAGGATCTTTGTGTTGTCGTTTTGCGGCCGGACTTTAGGATCCCACAAAAGCTCTTGCACGCTTTCACTGATTTAAAAGTCTGCTCGGCAGGTGCAAGGAAGCCACAGGGGGACTTTTACAGTGCACACTCAACTGCTGGGTTGTTTTTTTTAACCCATGGTTGGGTCAAATATGGGCAAACCCAACCGTTGATTTACAACTTTTAAACCCATATTTGATCCAAACATGGGTTGAAACAAACCCAGAATATTTTTTTAAAGCTTACAGTGATTTTATAAAGCTATTAAACACGTAAAGTTATGGACATGTCTAATAAGTCTTGTGTCTGCTGTTTATTATTATTATTTAAATTTAATACACTTACAAGTCATGCACTCTAAAAAATGCTGGGTTGTTTCAACCCAAATTTTGGTCAAATAAGGACAAACCCAAATGTTGGGTTAAAAATGCAATTAAAACATTAACAGTTGAAAGTGAAAGTTGAAGTTGGGTTAAAATTTGACATTACATTTTTAACCCAACATTTGGGTTTGTCCATATTTTACCCAAATTTGGGTTAAAACAACCCAGCATTATTTAGAGTGTGTGAGTCACGCAGCACAGTCAACTGCAAACTACTGTATATTAACGTGCATGAGTAACATTCTGTCTACAATGTGCCAGCGAGCAATATGTAATGAGTTCCAGGTTTTGGTGTTTCCAGGAAATGTTTGTTTTTTAATGGAGATGTGTGTGTACTGCCCATTTGCCTGCGCATTGATTGAGTCTCTCTGTTCAGTGTGTGGTGGGCACTGATGACTTACCCCATGCTGTGTGTGTTATCAAACTGCTGAGATGCTCTTGGCTCTGATTTATAACACTACCTCAAATAATCTTGTTAATGCACATTTAACATTGCGGAAGTGGCAAGCACATAGACTAAACAACACCTACGCGAGCGAGCGTTCAGAGTAGCGCTGGTGAAATGTGCCGAGTGATAAGCAGCTAAAGAGAGGAGGACCGTACTGTCTCGTTGTCCTAAGGGTTTATAACTTCAGATGTACACTTGCTTTATTGTGTCGCTATTCCAGGATAAAGGGGAAAAGGCTTAATAAACAATGCAACATCTTTAGGATGCTATGAAACGGAGGGGAAATAGATCAAATCCTCTGGGTTTTTGAAG